CCAGTGATGTAAAAAAAAAAATAGGGCATTCCAGTCACATGTATTCACCGTACTCTTATTTCGCTAGTGATATCAATTGTTCCTGAATAAGCAAATGTTCTTTCAAACTGCAAGAAGCACTTACGTAAATTAAATCACAAGTTCGAAAGTAAAGATTTTCATAACATTCTGAACTACAATGCTAATTTTAAATGTAAATACAGGGTGAATCAAAAGTCCTGCCCACATTTTGAACGTTAATAACCTCTCAACAATATATCTAATGGATATTCGGTTTTCACTAGGTAGTGAAAACCGATAGTAGTTTTCAAACCATCGATGCATCGACCTGAACTGTCGATAGTCTATAGATGCATCGGGGGGGATTACATCCATTCATTGATGGATGCATCAGGACAGCACTAATTTTTTGCTGTTGCCGCTTAAAATCAGTTGCCAAGCCCGTTCGCGCATTTTCCCCCCTATTTTTCTTCGTTTTACACGGCCTCCTTTGGACATTGGCACCGGAAGATTGCAAACCTGGCGATGGTGCAAACCGGCGGTTGCGAAAAAATCAGTACAACCGATAATAAGCAACGTCCATTTCAAAAATTCACTTTGAGTTCACCTTAAAGAAAGAGATCAAATGCCCCAGGACAAGTTAAACATGTAAAAAAATTAAGCTTGTGTATAAAAGAGAAAGACAGGAATATAGAGAAGGGATTAACCAATATACGTTTTGAAATCAAGGGAGTGTAAGAACAGTCCACTTTCGCAGCATGAACCTGATAAGATCGAGCCAAAGACTGAAACAGAAAAACAAATAAAATTCTCGGTCTTCCTTACCTCTCCTTTGCCATCGAATTGTAAAAATCTCCCACTCTCTACATTGTCTATTCCTTTAATGATCCTGGATAAGGTCCCCATTGCCAAGCTTCTCTCGAGCTGGTACAGCCCTAGCACCTCTGAAACGCTTCTCATATGAAAGGCTCCTAACCTCCTTCATCATCCGCTTAGTCCGCCTCGACCCTCTCGAGCGCCGCTAACTCGCTGTTACTCGTAGACCTCCAAATTGAATGCAATACGCTCATTGATGTCTCACCAGCGCCCTATACGACGGGAGAATAACGAGCGAACATCTACTGGATATGAACATTGATGAAACCAAGGATCTTGAAGCATTTAGCTACCTTTGCTTGGACGTGCGGGGATAACTTCAGTTATCCATCGGTAGTAATCCTTTAAATCCCTCTCCATTTGGCTCATTCGTATGCACCGAACTCAAGAGTTCTATCGTTATTGTGACCGAGATGATGCAGTTTACATTTACTCTCATGATACCTCACGAGTCATTTCTCCTAGGGAGCCATTTCTCCGGGAGACACATTTTCTCTCCAGCAAAAATCATTGCAGACTCTGGGGCTGACTGTCGAAGTGAAAGAACTTAAGCGGTTTTTCGAGCAGTGGCTCGCGGAGACCCTGCTCCGAAATCTTCCTGTGTGTGAAAGGTGTGCCATGGTGATTGGGAATGCTCCCCACCGAAAGCCCAATATGGCAAGGAGAAAAGGTGAAATAATTGAGTTAATGATGGATCATATAAATGAAATTCCTCATTCTGTTCCTCCTCAGCCAGTGTTGATAGCAATAATCGAATCCCACCGGATTCCGACAAATTATGTCGTTGATTCCATGGCAGCTGCAAGCAGGACATTGCGTCGTTTTCCTGCGACCTCAGCACTGCGTCCAGTGCCCCATACACCAAATGCGGCATTCCGTTGAATACGGAATTAAACAGATGGGTGTAAATCGATTTGACTGCGAAGCTGCGTGCGGATTCATCCTGCGAGCGATAGTGGAAATTCTGTCATCGCTGGACATTCCCTCTCTTACCTGGACGCGCTGCAGGACGGTCACTCCCTCACTCCCTCACGATCATCTATTGATAATAGACGAGAATGGCGTGAGCCTAACCGTCCGTCCTGCGTCAAACAAAGGTCTCACGATTGGATTCATTAGGTTCCAGTCCATTCTGGTCAACCCAAAGGATTTCAGACTTCCTCCGGAGAGATGTAGCATATCTAGCCCCTGGTCTAATGGGGAAGTCCAGGAGACAAATCTCGGTATCCTCTGTGTCTATAGGGCTTCCAGGTATATTGTGGCAAAAAGAAAGTCAAATGCGACATGGAAATTCAAATGGGTCGCTGTGGTGGATGTCGGATTTTAGGGAAAAACATGTCCGACCTAAGGAAAGCCAAATGCGACAATACACACGGAATACCATACCATTATTATGGGGAAAGCCTTCTCGTAACATTTTCACTTTCTTCGGATTTAGGATCATTTACATTTGTTGCTCCTTTTCCAAATAATATTATTTGGCAATTACCGAAATGTCAAGGTTTTTGATAGGAATATATGTATGCTGCCACCAGACAATCGGGACGGTAGAACAGATTTAATAATGGAAAAACTGAGGGGAAATATTCGGGCTCTTCTTAACCCTCAAACGGTATCCAAGTTTTTTCATTGCGTAACTGCGAGCGTGGGGTTAAATTGAATCCAGCAAAAAAAATCGCAATAAAGGAAGTTTTGCGAGATGAAAAGTAATTTATCCAGACAGTTCCCCGGCTAACTTCACTGCAGAAAAACGGCATGGTGGTATCATGTGCTTATGACTATCCCTGACGAAAAATCGTCAAATAATATCAATTACAAGATGAACACCATAAACAGATGCACCCGAATTCGCACGTTGCAAAAATGCATAGTAACATCCTTGTGTACCTGTCGTATTTGATTTTTCTCATGTCGAAAATCCTTTTCTCTAAAATCTGACATCTACCACCGCGACACATTCGACCTTCCTGGTTTTTTTTTTGGAATTCATTTTTTCCACGTCTGACCTAGAAAGCATTCATTTCGAATGGGAGAAGGGAAGGAGGAACTTCGCGGGTCTTCCCACCGCGTGCTATGGTGGTGCAATTTTCCCCTTCCAAGAACCTTAACCCTTTCAGACCTGAATTTTGGCCGCTATTGGAATTATATCTTTTTTTCATTTTTGAGCTCTATTATGATTTTAATTGAGATTTTCGTGCTTTTCATATAGTTTTCATAATTGTATAAATTTACCATAGCATACCATATATTATAAATTAAGCATTTAATTAAATAACTGAAGATTAAAATAGTAAAGGGTAAGAGAAGGCCTTTGATGGAACTGAGCCATGCATAATTACGCCCATTTTAGCGCAATATGTAGCGCAAAGTCACGAGAATTTTAAGAAGTTGCCATAGACACAATGTAAATGCAATGTCCATTGGAATGGACGCCAGGTCCGAAAGGGTTAATGTTTTTTTTTCCCCTGTCTAGGTTTCGCCATTGTTTTCTTCGAACTTTCACCGAGTTTCGCTTCCAATAGAGCAGGTGCAATGAAAGGTACTCAAACTGGAGTAATTTTCGTTCATTTGCAAGTTTTGATCAAGTTGTTTTCTTTTGTTCGATGTTTTCATCGACAAGCCCCATATTTTACGACGGCTTCGATGAGGTTGCTCACGTCTGGATATAGCCTCTGGTTCAATATGTTTGAGCACCACTGCTTTATTCCGTAGCTTATGCTAAAAAATCTCACTCACAAGAAATTCAGCTGACGAAGTGCTTCGTTAAAAGGAGAAACAAATGATTATCAGGGCGTCAACGTTTTCCCTTCGCTCTTGACGCTCACACAAAAGGCTTTAAAAGCCCTACTGTACATATCAAGGCCAATTACGAACCTGGTGACGTTCTGTCGTGCATACCGTGAAGGTAGGCACACATTGTCAGCAAGAAGACAATCGCTAATGAGAAGCTTCGCCGTCAAGGTGAACAGCAGACACGGGCATATAGACATCGTCCACTGACGAGAAGAAGCGAGTCGGGAAAAAGGGACACGACCAAAGACAGTCCACCACCGACCATCTCTTCTCAATCATCAGCGCTGCAGGTAGAAAGCATTACGCCTCTACTCAGGTGAAACTCAACGTTTATCACTCTAACACTACTTTTTGGTCTGCTGGGCTCTCCTGTTTCATTTCATTCGTTCATTCATTCCCATCGGTCTCCCTTTCTAATCATTGATGCAACTGATTGATTAGAAAAAGTACTATGGGAAGCCTTGAAGGAATCCAAGCACTCGGGTTGGCTCTCTTGACATTGCAACCTTTGAAATTTGACTGAAGTTATTCGTGACAATCACTTCAAAAACCTTTTGCTGTCTCGGATGAAAATCAATAAAGGGGGGTGGGCGGTCTTTGGTTGGATATTTAAGAACAATATTCATGCTAAATGGCTCTATGTTGTGTATCGTCGTGTCGGCTACCAAGCTTTGTTGAAATACTTTTTTAATACAACATAATACAACAACTTAATACTTAAAAACAACTTGAAGCATCATCTTCGCATTTACAACTGAATCACCCTTTCAAGTCGTAAAGAATGTCCTCAACCAACTTCATAACAATATTTCAGCACGGGAATTAGATTCATTTTCTGGACGAGAGTTTAATCGAAAAATTTTTGGAAATTTATAGAATTTAGTAGACAATTTCCGAATATTTCCTTTTCGGCAGACCTCAACCCCTCGACTTTGTTGCGCAACTGACATGAGGTGCAAAAAAATAAGCATTAACCTAGCTACACCGCAACACAATACGGAAAGTCTTCATCTGAAGTATTCGAAGGAGTAATGCCACACTTCATCATTTACATTTTTTAAAATTAGTATATTGCGATGAAATAATGAGAAAAGCGTTTATTTTAGTTCCTGTTTTGTCAGGTTCCTCACTGAAGATGAGAAGTTTCCAGGTCCAGACCTGGAAGACTGACAAGATTCCTCAAGAAATCCAATCTTTTGAACGTCAGAAAGCAGGTGAATTCAATGCAATACTCTTCTCCATAGCGGACGTATATTTAAAAAAATTATTATTATAATTATTCTTACAAATATTATCGTTATTCTTGCAAAGGTCATTCCCGAAGAATGAATATGTTCCTGGTGATGAAAGCGATCGTGCTTCTGGCATGTGCTGCCCTTGCTATAAAGCAGGTAGGTGCAGCCCGAGCACAACAAATTTTCAAATGGTCACATTACGACAAAAAAAGATCGTCCGAACTGCAGGTGGTGTTCTTCATCGAGGAGTATAAGTCCCCGGCCAGGACATTGTACACGGTGGATGATGTCGAAAGCATCGCGGCTCCGGCGTTCACCGTCTGCCCGAAACCGTCGGGAAACACTTTCAACAATACTCCAGGACTGAAATACTTTAATGCCACTTCCGTCTCGTTGCGGGACGTCATCTCAAAAGCTCCTGGACCTGAGCTGAGCTCAACGACCACAACAAGAATCAATAGGGAAGCCATCACTCGCTCTGTAAATGGTGAGAGTTGCCGCACCTTCGCTGGAGACGTGGAAACTTCAGAATTACAGATTCATTTTATACGTAGGTGTTGGACATTGGCGCGAACGTACATTTTGGGAAACGACTGGAGGCGGAAAGGGTGGAGTTTTCTTCAAGTGCTTCACGCTTTTCCTGAAGGAAAACGTTACCATGGGGCGAAGGAATTCCACCGATCCATCCATGGCCTTCACTTTCCAATTCAAAGGAATCCAGAATTTCCCGGAGCCCAAGGTAGGGGCAATCCACTCGGTTGCAACTAATGGGACATTTTTATAGTAAATTCGGATGGAACATTTACTTATTTTTCATCATTTCACAGATCGAAGTTTTCGTCCACGATCAGTTGGAAAATTTCACATATTTGGACACATTCAAGGCTGAGCCGGTGGTCCTTTACGGCGGCTCCACCATCGAGCTCTCTATCCGTCCGGAGATCGTCCAGAATTCGGGCAGAAACGGGAATCGCTGCTCCGAGGAAGTGGGCTACAGCTACACCACGGTGAGAGGAGACGGGACGGTTCAAGTGCTTTGCGAAGAGTCATTGCATTATTATGAAGAATTACTGCATCATTATGAAGAGTTAGCGCATTATGTTAAGCTGTGGTGTGAATTTGCATGCAGTGCATGGAGACGTGCTTTTGGAACTTCGTGCAGCCGAGACATGAAATATCGTGCTTGAGTCCCTCTCTCCTGACCGACGATGTCATCCTGAGAAAACCCGAATGTCGATATGTCGAAGAAGGTCAATTGCTAGAGCGACTGGATGAAGCCAGAAACGACTTTCGAAATCGGTCGGGTAATTGCAACTGTTCAATTAGGTGCATCACGACCAACTATCGCATCCTGGCGGTTTTGACAGCGGAGGGCGTGAAGAATGACGAATCTTCTTCTCTGAGCTTCAGTTTCCCATCCAGCCGAGTGAGATCTTGTCTCCCTGGGTCATCCTCCTTCTCTTTTCCTTCCCAGAAGAAAAAATCTATTCTTTGTGTCCTGACAGGTGCCTCGTCTCGAGCATCAGCCGGAGTGGTCCATCCTTCATCTCATGTTCCACATCGGGAAAGTGGTCGGCATCTGCCTCGGAGTCATGTGCATCCTCCTCATCTGCGACGTCATCGAGGAGGCACGTTCCAGCGCCCGCTGGAAATCGCTCCAGGGAAGCAGCGATGCCACGCATCGCCGCAAATACTGATCCGACGATGAGGAAGGCCCCCGCGTCCAAATCCGTTCAACTCATTGCTTTTCTAATTCCAAAAGACGGTCTCATAGGGTATCGTTTTTCATGCATTTAACACAGCAAGAGATCCTCGCGAGAAAAGTGGTATTGTTTTTTCACACTCTCACGATTCGTAGAGCACAATATTAAATTCTTAATTAAGATTCATTTATTCAGGATTCTATGATACTCCAAGGAATATTAGCGGCAATAAGTCCAAGAAAGTGTCATTTCGCTATTTCCTCAATCCTAGAGCCGCGCGTCGAGTGATTTCATGCATTCTAAAATAGTTCCCACGAAATTAAAACTTCTCATTCTCATGTGCCATTCCCGGCGAAATGTGAGGTCGGTCTGATACCTACTGTACATACAGTTGATTGAGAGGCATTCAAGGACCTTCCTTCATCAAGCACAAATCTGAGTTGATGGAGCTGGAACCGCTAACATTTTCTGAAGTGGAACTAAAGCGTAAACACTTTCGGTACTGAGTTAAATCGTAGGGCTCTCCTTCCCGGCCGGAGCTTTATTTGTGATATCACGCGGTGTGCATAAAAGCAAAAATTACCACTCAATTACGTTAGAAATTGGAATTATGAACTTTCGTTAGTTTTACTAACCTCTGTAAGGCTTCAGTAGACGAGCAAGCTTGGTCCGGTTCGGTATATCCTGAACGCAAATTTGCGTTCGTATTCCGAAAGGGTTAACTACAATACTCACACCTCGTTGCACTCTATTCCGTTCGGCTGAATTACCCTCGTACACCTGGTTACTACTACTACATGTACACATATTCAAAAAATGCACTTAGCGCTGGAATGACACGTTCTTCAGGAGAACTAATATGAGAGTGCGTCTTCGATCCATGCAATATAAGACCAATGCCAATTCAGAATCGAAAATTGTCCGACACAGAAACATGACCCTCGTGTCAGATTATCGGCAAAAAAAAGGAGTGGAAATGAAAGTTGACTGCTCCCTCCACCCATAAACTCAATTACGGCGATCCGATCGCTTTCTCACAGAATGGGTTTCATTTCGTGGTTATTGGTGCATTTCACCATATATGCATACGAATTTTTCCACCTGCACCGTGTTAAAAAAAAACTCACATTTTCTCATGGCATCCCAGAATGTGAAACTTGCACGTCTAGATCGACTTCAACGGAGTTCGACTCAGCAGGAAATGATAGAGAAATGACACGTACCCAATCATCGGAACTGGATTGGCGCTTGCAATGTTTTAACTTTCATATTCCCTCATACCAGCGCATTTTTGTCGATTTTGGTTCTCCAGCAGTGTATCTCCGTCGGAAACGTCATTCTCAATTGTAATTTCTCTAAATGTGATCACACATTGTTTCACGACTCAGATTCGCTTTAATTGCATGAAATTGTACTCATCGACACGTCTGAACCTGCAGACAATAGAATCGTCTATTCGCACCTAATATTTCGAGCAAAAAAAAACCGGGATTATAATGTCTCATGCCTTTCACTCTTGTGAAGAGTTTATTTGTTATCATTCTGAAAGTATTTAACAATATTTGTTTGTTAACGTTTATTGTTACCGTTTTATGAGCGCACCTATAGAACCCACGTCAGTCTTTGATGAACTGTTTGATGTACAACGCATTTCTGAGTCTGAATAATATTTTTTTTAGTAGAGCAGCAAAATGCTTCAGTCCATAGCAAGGCTGGAGACAGAAAGGAGAAGAACACGAATTGGCATGATTTCCCATCCAGCTGCAAACCGGATGAAATCCCTTTCATTTGGAATCAAATTCCCAACCGTCCTCGACTGTTCAACTATGATCGTCCTTCATCGATTTTCCTGTTTCCTTCCATGTATGAAGACTCCGTGTAGCAGAGAAATAAAAGAGAATACCGAGTTGCTATCCCTCGTGTCCAGCCCAGACACATCCCAGTGTGTCCCAGCGTGTCTCATCAAATGAGAGTTACACACGAAAAATACACTCTAAAGCTTCTCTTCTCAAGATTTTTTTTTAAATCGAGCCCCCTTCCATTATTTATGCGACTTGCACATTTATAAGCATCCAGAAGTATTGAAGCGGATAGAATATGATCGAACTTTTTATCAATACATGAGGAAATGAGAAATTCGATATATTGCTCTGGGCACCGATTACTTCATCATTCCTTCTTTTGATCTTCAACGCTTCAAGCAACCTCTGACATGATTCGACTTCTTCAGCGTCGAGTGATTCCGACCGAAAAGCCTGAAGGCTCCAGGATTGCATCGGCCGGCAGTTCACCACGAACCATGCATTATTGATTCACACTTCCTGACACTGCGAAACCACACCAAGGCTTTGAATCTTTTGAACTTCCCGATCGGTAGTAGTTTTTTTTTCCCTTTTGATGGAGGAAAAGCAATTTCTATGAAAGTGACTTCAATGTACTTTCACTCGATTTCAGCAAGAAAACGATCCATCTGCATTTCGATATTTAAACAAAAAAATTAAATAGTGGAAATGACGGAGAATTTGAATTTCCTGAACTTCCCTCTCCCCCGAAAAATTAGGGAATGAAATACATATGTTAAAGTAACAGAAATTAAATGGAGCAAAAATATATCAACTTCTGCCCACAAGAAACAGCGGCACCCCTACCTAAACTACAAGGATCCAGAGGGAATTTTGATGCTAACGAGGACTGGATACGAAGGTTCAGAGTAAGAATGATTGATGAATTTTTTCCAATTACATTATCTCGCAACCAACCGGTTGAGAACCTCTGTTCCAGACAAAGGTATGCATAATGATCGCGATAAATTTACTCTCGTGAAATGGTGAAACATACTGAAAAATTATCTTCGGCAGCGAATACAGCACTCGAAACATGGAAAACAGGCAGCTGAATGAATGAATGTAAATGATTGTAGGGGACATGAACCAGAAGACATGAGTTGAGGCGAGGTGATGCGAGAAACTCAAGAACTCACGAAAGCCCTATTATAGACTTTAACAAGAAAATCGCGAAGACGAGACTTCCTGACCAATCGCGTCGACGGTGATGCTTTACAGTATACGTTTTACATGGAAGGCATCTCTTATAATTTCAGGTATTACCATCATTCTTCTTATTTATAAGTGAAAATATATAATCTCTCACTAAATTTTGTGATTTCTGTTTTTGTTTTTTCTCGTTGCTATTAGCAAAATGCGTCTATCGGAGAACGGCCAATGTGATCAACCATAAGATCCCACCGCAGCCCGAAAGGGAAAATCAAGGACGATCTGCTCAGCATTATTCTGAGCGGATTCAAGTGAAAATGAGGAGAAATAATTTATTAAGTTTATCTTCTTCTAGTCAACCAAGAGTAAACTTTACTAACTTTGGGGGGAAGAATCAGCATGCCTTTTTCCATCGACGCCTAGATTAAGTCTTTCACGAACTTCTATCGCATCCCACTCTTATTTTACTCGGTAATACACAATTATGAGGTCTCCTAAACGAGGAATTGAGCAGAATGTGCTGCTAACAAGCTTCGGTCTATCAATATTACTTTCTCATTCTCGCCAGTTAAGTATGGGTCGATATAATCGTTTTTAAGAAGGCCTATTGTGCAGACCCTGCCAATCATGTGTCGGAGAGGGACATATTGCGCGTATCACGCAGATATGCACACTATGTCAAAACCAGGAGGAAAAAGCTAACGATGGACGTAGCCATTAACGGGAAAGACAAGACAAGAGATTGACAATGGCATGTATACATTGTCCACTAATGAGAAGCCGAAGGTGACTGAAAGGGGGACGAGGCTGACGAGGGGGACGTTTCACGGCGCCCACAAAAGCTTTACTCGGACGGAGAGACGCTGGACGCATCCTCGCAGGTGAGACTCCTAACGTCCTTCAACTACATTCCGATTACCTCATTCATTGCCCCTATTCTATTGGATTCCCCCTTTCTCTTGCATGTAAGGGGGGGGGGGGTGATATGCGGGCAATTTCAAAGAAGATAAGTGAAATGGGTTGGCCTTCTTGTACATCATGAAATTTCTCTGATGCTGTGTATGACTATTTTTTGTGGGGTAGCTGTGTCTCAAGGATATTCATGAATGGTACAAAACCATTATGTCGATATTTCAAATTCAATTTTCATTCCAAACACCATCCTGAAAACTGTGCTCCGCATGGTTCTAGAACTTATTTTCGTTATTTTCTCTGTGAAATTGGTTATTTGTACCTGACACTTCCTGAGACCACGTACTTTTCCATGCATTCATGAGCATTGCAAATACGTGATGCCACCGGGAATAATTACGTTTCGCACCTGAAGGGGAGTGGCCTTCATTATCTGAAGGCCAATTCTTCTAATGGGTAGCATATTAAATAATAATTTCAAAAATAATACCGTTCCATGAGATTGCGTTTCGTCAGGTTTCCCGATCGAGATGAGCAGCTTGCAAGTCAAGACCCTAGAGACCAACAAGGTGACACATGATCTCCCAGCTTGTCAACCGAAAGGGGAAGGTAAAGTCAGAGCAATTTTGAATTCGAAAGCGAACATTAGGGTAAATACATTTTTTTTAACTAGGAACGACCAAAAGAAATAAGATCCGACTCGTGATCAAGTTGATGGTGATTCTGGCATGTGCAGCCCTTTCTCTAAAGCAAGTAGGTTTGCGCTATCGATGAATCATTTTTCATTTGGTGCAATTATCTTCAGAAATAACAACCCCAATGCAAACTGCAGGTCATCGTTATGGTGGAGGAATATTTATCTTTCCCGGTCAACTCGCTTTACACGGTCGAATACGTCGAGAAAGTCCAGGCTCCAGCGTTCACCATCTGTCCGAGACCGTCGGTGAAGTCTTCTTTCAAGGGGGAAATGGGTCAGCGACTCAAAGACTTCGCTGTTTCTGCGGTCTCGCTGAGGGAATAGCAGAGAGCACGAGGGTACAGTCCTGACTTTTATTACTTCTTAAGTTGGCAGTTACCCCTTTGCTAGAA